CTCCTGCACTGTCCCTCCACCCTCCCAAGCATGACGTCCCTCTCCAAGGACTGGTCCCGCCGTGCAACGTGTCCAGATTATTTCAGATGGAGCTTCCAAATCCTTGCCTGCAAGGAGCAGTGGTTTAAATCACCAGCTGCTCCACAGTAGAAAGATGGGAAGTCTCCTCCTGTTTACTATGTATCAGAATCAATTCAATGGTAGTTGAGTGCCTTCAGGGTTTATCTGGGCCCCTTCACATTGCCCTGTGGGATTAGGCTAGGGAAAATGGTAACAAAGAATGCTGATACTCTGGATTTCATATGCTGGAGTGAGAAATGAACTGTCCTTCTTGGACTCAGGAGTGTCCTTTGTCTGATCAGTATCCACAAAACTATCAGCCTAATTTGCTAACTTTGCAAATAAGCAAAAACTTCAAGGCCTTCACCATTCTCAACAGCCACCTCTGTATCGTCTTTACCATGAGATATTACGCAGTCAGTAGACATTAAGGCAGATGCTTTAAGATTTCCTTAAATAAAAAAAAATTTCCTTAAATATTATTAAATTAAGCATCCTTTAACATGCTAAAAATCTAAACATAATTTCAAATGTTAAATTAAACATCATTCAATATGTTAAATGTGTTATCTTTGATATGCAAAATATTTCATTTTCTTAAAAAGCATTTAAATAAATCCATGTATTAATATATTAGCAGGTGGTACTGCATAAGACCATTATTGTAAAACTATAAAGATAACTAGGAAGATGTACACGAAAGTCCAAGGTGGGAAAGAGAAGGAACCAGGGGTAGGGAGGGGGGAAATCACAAGGTCACAAAGTTGGGAAGGTGGAGGGAGGGGGTGAAGGCCTGAAAAGACAGGATAATGGTGGCATAGATCAATGGGGATTAATTTCATAAAACACAATGTATGGCAATAATTGCATGAAACACAACGTGAATGAATGAATGTGTAAAACTTAATGTATCTGTATTTTTTTTCTGGTTGGTTTTTTTTTATTAATTTTAATGAAAGTTTACAGAGAGGGTTTTCAATCATTCATTGTTGCACTTTTCTCCTTGCCCAACTCTGCCCCCCCCAATTCACTCTTCTCCTTGAAAAGTATAAGGAAAACTCTTTCATTGTTATGCAATCCCTCCCCTCATGTCCACTCCACTGTGCAGCCTTCACTCTAGACTGCTGTCATGATAAAAATATCCAATCCTATATCCCTTTTAAACCGTTCTCTCCCTCATCTGTTTCAATGCAGTATGCATCATTCATCCCCCTCCTTCTGTCTTCCCTCAACTCCAATGTCAGTTCCGTTTTATAACAGTGGCCCTATGCAATATTTATCCTTTTGTGACTGAGATATTTCATTCAGCATAATGTCCTCGAGGGTCAATATATCTGTATTTTGTATTCAAATAAATGTCAAATAAAATTTTTAAAGGATAAGAAAAATAAGAAATCAAACTTTCTGCCTCCTCTATACTTAAATTCTTACAGGAAGTCTGTATGCTTTTGCAATGAAAGGGCCTGCTGCCATCACTGTGCATTCTTAAGAAGGCGGTTCTCCTCCTCCACTAATGCGATTATTTTCACAATGTGCCTCTGCAGCCATCCCTGAGTGTGCAGCCTTGCTCTGCCCCGAAAATTCCAGATGCACACCTTCCAGTGAAGACGAAACCAAACTAGAATGCAAGTGCCTTCCCAATTACAGAGGTGATGGCAAAAACTGCGAACGTGAGTCAGTTTGCATTCTCCTGATCTTTATTATTAGATTGTATTTTATTATAAGATTCTGCTACTAGGTTATCTGACGGGGTGGGGGAACCCTTCACAATCTCTAATAGCAACACAATGATCTCTATTTTCTCTACATTTATCTGATATAATGCAACTGTCTCTGGTTTTTTCAAAGTAATCATATGACAAATATAAAGTATCAAACATAATGTTCAGCCTTTGATAGCTCTTTAATAAATGACAATTTCTTCCTCTACTGTGAAGCTCTGATGGCCTAGTAATCAAAATTGCATTTCCAACCCAAAGACACACAGTTCGAATCCACCAGCTGCTTCATGGGAGAAAGATGGGCAATCTCTTGTGCTATTTGTTGCCCGTGAAAACCTGCTGAGAGGTCAGCTATGAGTCAGTTTTGACTCCACAGCACATGACAACAGCACAACAGTAATATGAAGCTGCATCTGTCAATTTTGACACATTTTTACATTTTCTTAATGTTAGCATAAAACTTATAACTGCTTTTCCCTTCTTTTTGTTTTTGTTTTAATGTTCCTTCACTTTATGAAAGGGTGCATGTATTTTATACTGATTAAGAATAAGAACTTTGGAGTCAGAATGCTGAATTCAAATCTCAGACAAAATTCCCCTAACTTTGTAACCTTCTTACACTTTGGTTTTCCTATTCAGAAACTGGAATAATAATTATACCAATCTTCGACTGGTGTAAGGATTAACCCTTCAAGGCTCAATTGCTTTCTGCTTAAAATTTTTTACAAAATCCTTAATGGTTTGTTGCTGTGCACCATAGAGTCAGAATTGACCCATAACTGACTCTCCACCAGATTTCCAGAGACAGTTAATCACTCAAGAGGAGACTGCACATTCTTTTCCTGTGGAGCAGCTGGTGGCCTAGAACCACTTGCCTCAGGATTGCAGTGCAGCTTCTCTTTTTTCTTTAATTATTATTGTCAATTTTAATGAAAATTTACAGACTTTAGATTTCCATTCTTTCATTGTCGCACTTTTCTCCCTGCTCACCCCTCCCCCCAGTTCACCCTCCTCTTTGAAAAGAATAATTCTTTCATAGTTATACAATCCCTACCCCGAAGTCCACTCCACTGTGCAGCCTTCATTCTGGACTCCTGTCATGACAATAATACCTAATCACATATCCCTTTAAAACAGTTCTCTCCCTCATCTGTTTCAGTGCAGTATGCATTATTTATCCCCTTTTTCTCAGTCTCCCCCCAACCCTGATGTCAGTCCCGTTTTACAACAGGGGCAATATGTAGTATTTGTCCTTTTGTGACTGAGATATTTCCTTCAGCATAATGTCCTCCTGGGTCACCCATTTTGAATAGTATTTCGTGAGTTTCTTGTTTTTCAATGCAGTGTAGTATTCCATTGTGTGAATATATCACAACTTCTCTATCCATTCGTTTGTTGATGGACACTTAGGTTGTTTCCAACTGTTTGCTATTGTGAACAAAGCCGCAATAAGCATGGGTTTGCA